TTTTTAGCTTTTTAGCATTCTCAAAACTCTATAAATAGGGTCATTGTCAAGGTGATTAGGAGTTGATTTTTTAGAGCCTAAATTCTCACATATTTTCTCTTATTTTCTTGTTCTTATTCTCATACTTTCTTTTTAGAATTTTATGGGAATTATGTGCAAGTTAGGCTAGAGTATTTAGGTGAGGCTAGATGATCTTATATGTGTAGTGGACTTATTTGGATTTTTGATTCTCCAATGGTTTGTAAGTTTTATACATTTGAGTAAATAATTTTCTTTTATCATATTTCTTCTTCTTATCAATATATTTTATTGTCAACTCTCATATAAATCTAGTCAAGCTCTTTTTATGTGATTGTTGCATTATATGATATATTGATCGGTATTATTTTATGAGTAGTCTTTAACTGCATTATTGCCAACGGTATATTGTCGCTCTTGGATTTCTCATAAGATAATTTTTCCTAATTCTAAACGTTAGAATTTTATTTACTCGAATACATTTTTAATTCATATGTTCTTCAAATATTTATTTTCTGATTGTTTGTTTGGGATGTGAAACTTTCAATTGAGTCAATTTATGAATCAAAATCCAAATAGGTGAACAAAGCATATGGAGGATTCTCAAAGCCTTACCACTTTTATTTATTGAATTTTCTCCATTTTAAATTGTTCATAAAATCATTAAAAACACTCATTCTTTTTCTTTATTTGATTGCTTACTTTCCTAACGCTTTTTATTTGCTAATCATTTCTTGTTCAATTTAACACTTTCTTGTGGGATCGACCGTTCAAATTGTACTACAATTGACCGCTTGTTTTTGTATACGTTTGGGCATAATCACATGTCATTCACTTGCACACTCAACTAGCTAAGTTTTTGGCTCTAATTTGCTATTCATGGCCGGCCAAAGTGGAGAAAGATAGAGAAAATTATAACCTACCCCCATCACATCACATCTTATCCAACTAAACTTAACCCACTATTGTACTTTTATCTCATCTCTTAAGTTTCTCTTGAAACTGTTATAAATTATACTGATTGTAAGTAAGTAACTTAGCCGACAGAAAATTCTAGTTTCTGACGGTTCCTTTTCTACTGCTTATTTACAGTTCAATATTAATCTCTAACTACTTCGATATTACATTAAATTCTTACTCGCGTAATATCTTGAACTATTTCAAGTCTTGAAATTAATTCTAGACTGAACAAATTCTAAATTTAACTTTCTACACTCTATCTCGGGAATGACATTGTTTCTGACGGTGTCAACTCCCGAGCTCACATTGTATCCTTCTACTATAGGTATTCATCTTATGACTTTAACCTAACTGTCTGGCAATTAAGGATTTTCTCTTCTTTAAAATGTCAGTGCGTTTTTTTTTATACGCGGCTAACATCATGCTGTGTTTGGAGATTCTTGAAATTAAGATTCTCAAACTATTCCTGTACTGAAAATTATTCCGCCTTAAAGTACGGTGAGAATTTATCGATTGAATTTACTTGATTGAAAACATGAACTTAACATGAAATATGCTACAAAATTTAGGAATATATATATTAATTCCATAAATCCTTCAGTCACATAATATTTTCTAGGAAAATCCTTGACTTAAATAAATAAATTGTATTATTTAAAGTCTAAGATTTTCTCAGTCATTACATTGGCTGAGAGAGAGAGCACAAGAGGGGGTTTCAGTTCGAGAGAGGAGAGATGGCGAAGGAGCAGCACGAAATGAGGCTGAGAGAATTTTTTTTATTCAGCTGGGTTATTTTGGGAATAATGAAAATTTCATTAATGAAGCCTTGTAGATTGCCGCACAGTCTACAATCAGAAGTAGCAAGTGAGATACTTCTGATTCTCTCCCAAAATTTCTTTAGGATTCTCTGAGAAGTAGTTTTTAAAGTGTTTATCAAACACAATAAACAGCTTTGGCTAAGTAAAAAATTTGATTTTGACCTCTTAAAATCTCTACCAAACTAAGTCATAGTCAATAAAGATAATCATCTTCATATCTAAAATATAAGACCATCTTTGAGTTTTCAATTGTTTGTCATTTTCCCCCCTTGACTTTGTGTGAGTTTGTGCCTCTTCACCAGAAGAGATAGTAAATAAGACTCCGTTTATTTCACCGATTCGAGTTTAGAATTTGAGTTTTGTTATAGTAAAAAGCTCTCAGAAATAGTCACATTTAATTTTTTTATTATAATAAAAAATTCTCACATAAAATCACTTCTCTACTCGAATTAAAAACTCGAATCAGCGAATTAAAAGAGCCCTAAAAGAAAAAAGAAAAAAAGAAGAAGAAAGAAGTGATCGTAGAAGAGTTTTTATATTGATAATTAAATAAATAAAGAGAAACAGTTTTCAATAGTAGACGTGGGATTTGCCACGTAGACCGGAACCCTTGTGTAGTTGAAAATTAAGGAGCCGAATATCATTTTCGCTATTTAAAACTCTTATTTTTTTCACTTTTTTCTTATTAAGATTTTATATTCTGATTTATGCTTTTAATAATCACATAATAATTAAAACTTAACACAAATTATTCTCAACGTGTATCGCACATAGAGTTTAACTAGTCTAAAAAGAAAAACGCAGCATATTAAAGGTCCAACATAGAATGAGAATTTTAATATTATTAATTATCAATTCTCCAGTAATGTTCAGATAAAATTAATGCATATATAAGTACTTATACTCTTCACTTAATTACCTTAGCTAACTATACTTATGCATCCATAGGATCCATATCCAGATTAATTAGTTTTCTTTTGGAAAAAAAGTTGTTCTTCTCATGATGGAAAGACATTGATGGTGGAAGTCACAAATCTTGCATCAACAATTAGCACTTTACATAAATGATAAAGAAGATAAAGTGTGGAAACTAAGATGCAAAGTTGAAAGAGTTTTGTTTATTTGTTTGTTTGTATATGTGACATATAATAGAGATTAATTGAGTTGGTTTTCACCCGATACAACTTTCATGGAAATGCCCATGGATAATTAGGTTTAGGTTATTTTAATTTTATATCATGATGCCTTTTTAAAAAATATATGGTATTTGTATTTACTGTTTGGATTTTCTAATTTCCCTAATTTGATTTCAGCTTAAACACATCGTATACATTTATCTCTTTACTTAAAAATGTGGTCCACCTTTGGAATTTTATTTCCAGCAACAAAATTTTGATTTTTACTTCCATAAAAAAGTCCGCAATGAAAAATGTAAATCTTGCATCAATTAACACATTTTATGATTGAGAAATAAAATAAGTTGCGGAAGCTAAGACAAAGCTGAAAGAGAGGTTTTGTTTGTTTTTTGTGTTTGTATTATGTGATGGATAATAGAGATTAGTGGAGTTGGTTTTATACCTGATGCAACTCGATGAACAATTTGGTTTAGGTTAATATGATGATGATTTTAACAAATATATAATATTTGTATTTGCGTGTTTGTATTATCAAATCTTCCTAATTTCCTAACAAATAAATTTTCAGCTTAAATCACATGGAATGCATTTATTTATTTGCTTATAGCATTTATTTCTTTACTTAAATACATTCCACCTCATGCGAAGTTGGAATTTCACTTTCAACAACAATTTTTTATTTTACGTTCATTAATTCAAAAAGAATAAAGTTAGAGACACTAACTCAAATTTTAATTTTTGTGTATCAACTGATATGACATATGAATTATATTTTTATATTAATGAGTATTTAAAATATTATTACGTCAATTAATGATAAGAAATTATATCTACTAATACAAATATAATAACTTGTATACCACATCATTTAATACATAAAACTTGAGAGTATTAAAATTTGATATTTGAATTGGTGTGTCTAACATTATTAATTAAAATTATTGAATTCTCAGAATAATAATATTGTCCCTGTCTTGCCTAGCAATACGACGTGTTCATTTCATCTTCTTTCTAGTGACGCACATTAAAGGTTCGTTTGGTATGATGATTTAAATCAGAGTAATTTTAATCATGATTATAGAATCAGAATTATAATTCATGATTTTAGATTTAAATTATGATTTTAAAATTATGATTTAAAATCAAGGGTTTAAATCACCTTGAATTAAAAGAAATAGTAGTTTTAGAATTATAATTTGATCTAATCTAAAATACCATATCAAATTTTAAATCATAATTCAGAATTATCTAAATCAAACACTAATTTAAAATTATAATTTAAAATCAATATAAACGAACAAGCAGGATCCATATTCCAAACGCAGCGTAATAAATTTCTGGCCACACAAACACAAGTGTGAACCAAAATATCCCCCAAAACTCACCTTCTCCAAGAACATTGGGAATTCAGAGCTCTCAAGCATCAACAATGGAGTCCATCTGCGTCCTCATGCCAATCCCGATGAACGCTTACCTTGAACGACAGCTCGAGAAGCGCTTCAACCTCTTCAAGCTCTGGACCGTCCCACAAAAGGCGCAGTTCATAAAGGACAACGCCGACTCCGTCCGCGCCGTCATCGGAAACGCCACATCCGGCGCCGACGCCGAACTCATCGATGCCTTGCCAAAGCTCGAGATTGTCGCCAGCTTCAGTGTCGGAATCGACAAGGTCGATCTCAAGAAGTGTAAGGAGAAGGGGATTCGGGTCACCAACACCCCCGACGTCTTGACCGATGATGTTGCCGATCTCGCCATCGGCCTAATGCTCGCCTTGCTTCGGAGGCTGTGCGAGAGCGATCGGTTTGTCAGGAGCGGCAAGTGGAAGCTTGGCGCCTACAAGTTGACTACCAAGGTTTGTTCCGTTTGGGGACTTTTTTTTTTTTTTAGGTCGTTTGATTGCATGATTTTCTTTAATCATTGGTACTTTTGCTAAGAATGCTGATCAGAAAGAATGCTAATTTTTGTATAAATTATTCATTTTCTTGGGAAAGATATGTGTTTGGATTGTTAGTCCAATACAATTATAATCATAGACTCGTACAAATTTGTTTCTTTATGAACATAGTTGCTCAATTACAATAAATGTGTGTGTTATAAGGTGAATTTCTGGGCTTGTTGTATTGACACTTTTTTGTTTGTGTGCGTAGTTGTGGAAAATGTTATGGTTCTTTCACTCCCTGTAGATCTTTTGACATTTTTTGATTTCGTAATGTGGTTGCATTTTTGAAAAATGTGTCGAGAATTCTTTTGGCCATTTAGTTATATTCCTTTGAAACGTCGTTTGACACGAGTTATTATGATCGCTGATCAGTTGAGGTCCGAAGATTTATGTAGCTGTGATGCTCATGATTGCGTGTGCATCTAAAATGTTAAGGCAGGCATGTTTTGGATACTCAAAATGCCAATACCACTCTGCTTCCAACATTATAAATTTATAGCAATGTCATGAATAGCACCAAGGACTTTGCTTTTCGAGTGTAAAGTTTACTTCGCATCAAAAACAAATTGACGGAAGACTCTCACATACTGCATGTAGGGTGTAGAGTTTCATGTGTAAAACCTCAAATTGCTCTTCTCAGTCTCTTCTCGGTCTCTTCCGGAACTTCTTTCTTCATCACTAGTTTTAATAAATTAATTTTCTTCCTGTCAGTTCTCTGGAAAAACAGTTGGGATCATTGGTTTGGGGAGGATTGGCCAAGCAGTTGCTACGAGAGCTGAAGCATTCGACTGCCCCATCTCTTACTACTCAAGATCTCAAAAAGCGGATGTGAAGTACAAATACTACCCAACTGTTGTAGAGCTGGCCGCCAACAGCGACATTCTGGTTGTTGCTTGCGCCCTCACAGAAGAGACTCGCCACATCGTCAACCGATCATTGGTTTGGGGAGGATTGGCCAAGCAGTTGCTACGAGAGCTGAAGCATTCGACTGCCCCATCTCTTACTACTCAAGATCTCAAAAAGCGGATGTGAAGTACAAATACTACCCAACTGTTGTAGAGCTGGCCGCCAACAGCGACATTCTGGTTGTTGCTTGCGCCCTCACAGAAGAGACTCGCCACATCGTCAACCGCGAAGTCATGGATGCTTTGGGCCCAAAGGGAAGAGGTCCTCATGTTGATGAACGTGAGCTAGTATCTGCGCTAGTTGAGGGCCGGTTAGGTGGGGCAGGGCTTGATGTCTACGAAAACGAGCCTGAAGTGCCCGAGGAGCTTTTTGGGCTTGAAAATGTAGTCCTCTTGCCCCACGTTGGAAGTGGCACCAATGAAACACGCCAAGCCATGGCTGACCTGGTGATCGGTAACTTGGAGGCTCACTTTTTGAAGAAGCCGCTACTGACTCCAGTGTTTTAAGTAGTATAGTTACATAATGATGTAAATTCGATTGGAGATTTGAAGGCTTCATTCTCTGTGTTACCTTTCACGATTTCTCCAAAGATCATTGTTTCCAGGCTTGGTAAAAGCTGCTGGATGAAACAGCTTGCCTTGTTAGTACTATCTTTGATTTTAAATCTTAATGTCATTTCATGTCACCCCAAGTTTGAGATTAGTGGTTGATGATCATATTCCATAACTGAACGGCATTCCGTTTCTAAGGCTAGAATAAAAACGTTATTTTCTTTCTTAACTGAACGTTCTTCGTTCAATCATTTTCTGTCCTTTACGTTTACTGTTTTGTGTTGTAAAAGTCCTCTCTTTAATATGTGATAAAATGACTTGTCTTTTTTTTTTTTTTTTCTCTCTCTCTGAAAGGAAGTTTGGCAAGAAAGTGTTATGTCGTTCATTCGTCGTAAACGAACCTGTAGCTTCTTCTTTAACTTAAGAAGAAGCAACAGCATCCTTAGCGAAGATAAAACAATTACAGAAACGACAGTAAACTTAGATAGGAGACCAACATTTCGCTTGTCACACAATCAACGACAGAAAAGTTTAGATGATAGATGACATATCGTTTTGAACAAACGACAGTACCACAAGACGACAAGTAAATATTGTTCATCTCAAGATAGAAAACTTTCCAAAGTTAAAAGGACACGTCACTTTAGGACTTAAACGACACCAACTTTTAAGAACAAAAGAAATTTTTTTCTGCTTGAACGACAACAAACTATCATGTTGTTTGAGTACTAGAACGACAGTACCGTTTAACGAGCAAAATATGTCGTGTTATGTGATTGAACAAAAAGCCACTTTGGACGATGACGTTAGAATTAACATAAAACGTCATGTCCTACTAGTGAACGACAGTAAACTTCTAAAGATCTTTTCTATTTTATTTTTAGTTTATATTTTTGGCTAAAAAATCGAGATGCTTCGAGGAGTGACAACTTTAAGGGGGGAACAATATGTCGTTTTCAACTGGCACAACAGGCAAAGCAGTAATTCAAAGGCATGTCATTTTTAAAAAATAAAGCTGCAATTTTTATTTATTTATTTATTTTTTGCTGCAACGAGCCAACGACGGCCTTGCTAAATGAAAGTTCTACTGAAAACTCCCAATTCGCATTGGGTTATCTACAGATTAAAAACCACATTTTCACAACCAACCATTGAAGAAGAATCTCAATCACTAGCCCCTAATCTTTCACATTGTTTTTCATTTTAACAAACAAATGGACGGCATTGGCGTCCTGATGACATGCCCGATGTTCAATTACCTCGAAGCAGAGCTGGAAAAGCGCTTCAAGCTCTGGCGCTATCCTTCAATGGCGGAATTCTTGGGAGAGAACGCTGATTCAGTTCAAGCTGTGGTGGGAAACACCAAAATCGGTGCCGACGCGGTACTGATCGGTTCACTGCCGAGATTGAGGATCGTCGCGAGCTACAGGTGGGGTTGGAAAAGAGTGATCTGAGAAAATGCGAGGAAAGAGGGATTGGGGTCACCAACAGTCCCGACGTGTTGACTGACGACGTCGCCGACCAAGCGATTGGGCTTATTTTGGCGGTGTTGAGGAGAATTTGTGGCTGCGATGGGTTTGTAAGGCGTGGATTGTGGAAGAAAGGCGATTTCAAGTTGACCACCAAGGTTTTTTTTTTTTTTTTTTTTTTTTTTTTTTTTTTTTTTTTCTCAAATTGACATTCTCTTATTTGTTCATCTTTTAATATAAGGAAAAACTTTGCCTTTTTGTTTGTGAGGTTGAATTATGCATGACATTTACAATGTAATGCAGAAGTTTAGTTTTATTGAAAGAAATGACATTATTATGTACTGATAGGTGCTTTTGCTTTGACAATGAATTGATATCTATCACGTTTTACATGTATGTTATGCCGTCTTTTGGGTTCATGGGAAACATCCAATATATATAGAATGCCTATACGAGTTCTTCTTCGCTTCTTCGACTTGGGAATAAACCTGAGTTCCACATTATTTAAATATAAAAAAATCATAAATTTACGTCATCTCATTTAACACGTTCATCTTTTGTGTCACTAGGAATTGTTAGAAATTTACGTCATCTCATTTAACACGTTCATCTTTTGTGTCGGTAGGAATTGTTAGGTTGGGAAGTGTTAAAATTTTAGTTGGCAATTTTTTACAACAGTTTTTTAGGAAAATTCAAAAAACAAGTTTGAAAAGTTGATGGTCTGTTAGGTAAATTTATCTGATGAAAGTATTTGAATTTTAAGATGAAGTGATGAGTTCTAGAGAAGATAAGTTACTGAAAAGATGAAAATAATGAGTCAAAATTTTAAAGAAGATTTGATGAGATAATCTAAGTTTAAATTGAATTAAATTAAAATTTAATTAAAAATAAGATTTGTCTCGGCAAGATAGAAATTCTAGGTTGTGCGTTTTTTTATAAAAGATAAAATGCAGAAGACGTGTGTGAAGACAAGGCAAAGATCATCATACTAAAATTGTTAAGTTAGGATTTTAAATTCAAGATTAGATAGTGTTGCAACAAATCGTGGAATAGATTGTGCGACATTTTAAATTTTAAGTAAGTTTGGAGATAAACGTCTACAACTCTATAAATAGGACTCAAGACTATTCATTTTGTGGGTTTCTTGGGTTTTCATCCATAATATTTTGAGAAGTTCCCATTAACGTTTTTTGGGAGAAGAATTTTTAGTTTTCAGTGTTAAAGGGAGTTCAACTGTTTATCATTCTTCAGGAGAAGAAGTTGAAGCTTTTGGGAGAGATTGACCTGTCATAGACTCATACGAAGGGATTTTGCTGTGCAATTTTGAAGATAAGTGGTGCTCTTTGAATCAGGCCATCTAGTTGATTCTACAAGGCGGCAACAAATTTTAAAGAGAGTCTTTATTTGTACAAGTCCTATCAGTGTTTGTAATCGTTAAGAATTAATGGATGATTAAATGTCTGAGCATGTTCCTGCAGATGTAAGTGGTTTTCAAACCGCGATATCAATTCTTTTTGCCTATTTATTTACTTTTTTCGGTAATTTATTTAGTTAGATTTAATTATATCCGATAAATTGCCAAAACAGGGATCTAACTGGAAGAATTGGCTTAGCAATCGCCAAAAGAGCCGAAGCATTTGGCTGCAAAGTCAGTTACTTCTCTAGAACAGAGAAACCGTATACAAGCTACAAATTTCAGTCAAACATTACGGACTTAGCAACCAATTGTGAAGTCCTGGTTGTGGCATGCGCTTTGACAGAAGAAACCCACCACATCATCAACCGGGAGGTGATCAATGCATTGAGTCCCAGAGGCATTCTCATCAACATCGGCTGAGGCCAGCACATCGAGGAGCCGGAGCTTGTTTCTGCTCTGATGGAGGGCCGGTTGGGCGGGGCTGGCCTTGATGTGTTCGAGAAGGAACCGGAAGTTCCTCCAGAGT